ACACCTTCAAATAAGAAAGAATATTTTAACATGAAACACTCACAAGCTAGGAATATCATAGAAAGATGTTTTGGTATTTTGAAGAAACGTTGGGCCATATTACGAAGTCTTTCTTTCTATCCAATAAAACTTCAAGGAAGGATGGTCATAGCATGTGCTTTGCTACATAATTTTATTAGGATGTACATGGTTCTTGATCCAGAAGAAAACACGATACTCACACTAGAAGATATTCCTGTCCTGTCCCACCATGTTCCACGTACCAAACACACCCTATATAGTGAACACAGTAAAAACAACCTTAACAAAATTTCGTACTAAGATGTTCGCAATATGTTCATAAGTGGTAAGTTTAGATATAGTTTTGTTGCTTTGGTTGATACTCACAATATGTTCACAAGTTATCTGACACCTCGTATATTTAGAGTTTGTTCACAATGTGTTCACAAATTATAACAATATTTTTAAAAAAATGTTTATGATGTGTTCACATGTTATAATAATATTTTTTAAACATACACAATGTGTTTACTTTGTGTACACATTTACCAGTGTTGGTATATATATGTTATAAAAAAGGGTATAGAAAGAGAAAACATGAGAGAGAAAGGGTAGGTGACAAAGGCCCTAGACAAATGCATACATCACCTACACTTTGAAAATAATTTTACCTAAAATTACTAATATGCCCTCAACTCCTAAGTTTCAACTTATTGAAACTCATCTGATTTTTTCTATTTTGTTTGCTATGATGTTATTAATTTAATTGATGACTATTTTTGTTTTTTTTCAACATGTTTTTCACGGTTTATTATTGTAAGATTTACTAGAAGGGTATTCACGCAATGCAATGAAATACATCTTGATTTTAATATTTCATTATATTTTTTTATCTCATAATATGGTCTTATTTGATTTTGAAAAAACGATGATGTTTTTATTTTTGAATAAAATATAAATTTGAATATATAAAAAAAAATTGACAAAACTATATCGATATTAGTATCAAATTAACTATTTAAAATTCTTTATTTTTTGTGTCATTTTTTTTAATTCAAAATTTTTAATTATAATTTAATTTAGGTTCAATAACGAAATAATTTATATT